GTGGCCTGGACCCATACAGTGTCCATCTCTCAAAAGGAACTCAGTTTTTGTAAAATGCAAGAACCAATCTTGGTTCTGAACTCCTAAAACTGAACCTCTGTATAGGCTTTATAATTAAGACTTCTCAATTACGTCCTGCATTTTTTGTTTTTTAACATGTGTTTTCCACTCTCAGCAGAATGAGACCAATGCGTATCTTCAGGGGAGGGTGCTGCAAAATGGAAATATTCCAGATGACCATCAAAGGTATGGCCTTATCTATGAAACTGAATGTGCAGTGACAACATACAATACCACAGGAATGTGATGGGAAAGACCTCTACTATCAACATTAGTGACATATAGGAATGTACAGGAATACAGGAGTTCTTTGGGATTCAGGAAGAAGGAAATTGTCATATTTAATTTCAGTTTGTTTCCTGAAGCCTTGCTTTTTCACAAATTGAAATGTATAGGCATTCCCTGACCTGGATAGCCCAGGCAAGCCTGATCTCGTCAGACCTCAGAAGCTAGGCAGGGTCAACTCTGTAAAGTATTTGGATGGGAGACCTCCTTGGGATACCGGAGGCAGGGGCAGGCTTTATTCAGCCACCTCTCCGAATATCCTGCTGGCCCCCAATAGGGGTCAGTCATCAGAGGTCACCATGACTTCCAGGTGCACACATACTCACATGCATAAACACATGTTAAAAAAATATTTTAAAAATCCCCCCCCCCAAAAAAAGTATAGGCATGTATTTTTTAAAAAAGATACAATCCATAAACTCTACTGATGACAGGTTACATTGTTTTCCTTTAAACTGAAGTAACATCCAGCCTGGACTACCGTAGTTCTTTTGCTTTATGTGGGGCTGCCTCTGAAAGGGGTTTAGAAACCCTATTTAGTTCTGAATGCAGCAGCAAGAGTAATAACGGAGACCTTTCGGAAACCTCCATATTGTATCAGCTTCACTAATTGCCAATTTCTTGGTTAAATTAAAAGTATTGTATTAAGTGATCACTTTTAAAACCCTAAATGGGCTTTAAAGGATGAACATTCTTGAAGAACTGTTTCTATCCATACATACCCAGTTCATTCAACCTCCTCGCTTTCAGATGTCTGGTTAAAAAGTTGAGGGGGCTTTGTCAGTGTGGCTGAAGGACAGTTTCACTTTTTTAATGTTGCTCTGTTGTACTTGGTATCAGATGTTCTGTTTTGCCTTTGTTAATTGTCTGGCTGTTATTGTTTTTTTTTTCTTTTTATTGTATTTTTTAATTCTTTGTAAACTATCTTGGGCACTGTTTAGTTGAAATGCTACCAAATGTCTTTGTTCAGTTTGTTTGGTCAATTTGTGTCTGAGGAAATCAACCACAAGAGATGAATTTGGTTGACAACGGCCTTCACCTTCTCTTCCACCCAGATTCCCTAGTCCTGGGCCAGAACACAGTTCTTTCCTCTACGAGCTTCCTGATAGTTCTACACACCAGCTACTTGGGTCACATGACAACTGCCATCACCACCACCCTCATGAACAACTTCTTGGTCCTTGTCACTTAGTACCACAAAGCCAGGTGGTCAGCTCTACGATGGAAGTCATGAAGGATCCTGTGTTTCGTACAGGTCAGTAGGATAGAGAGAGTCCTGCAGCTTGGTATGCACATGGGAGGAATTAAGGAATGCAGAGGGAGAAACTTTTTTATGTGATGCCCGCCAGCACTGCAGAGCAGAAACAAACTGGTGGCTAAGGGAATTTCTAGCTAGTTGTCCTATGTCTTCTACACAATAACACAGCTGTATTCTAGATATATTTAGTCAGCAGCTAGAACATATTCATCCTTCCAATGTAGGCATTATTTAGCTGCTACCCAAAAACTGGTATGTGTTTACATCTCTACAATAAAATGTCAACTATTTTCTGGTAATTCTGAATTCTACCTGAGAAGTGCAGGAAGATCTATATAGTAAGGATCCACGCTCTATGGGTTAATGTGGGTTAACTTTATAGTGGATCCCCCAGGAATGAGCTTTTTAAAGAAAGATGGTCTTTGACATAGGGGTACATTTTGATTGTCCTTTTTTGTATTTTTAGATTCCACCTGCTGCCTTGGTCTAGTACCAGTTGAAGACATAGAGAGATCAGATTTCAGCCAGGACAGAAGACAAGTTTGCCCCATAAACCCAGTGGACACGTGTGTGGAACAAAGCTCAGAAAACCACCTGAACAGCTTGCCGCTGCACGTTCCCTTAGAGACTCTTCCTAGCACTAGCTAGGAAACTGCTGTACAAAGACTATTGTTCTTAACAGAGGAAAATAGCTATTTATTTTTGTATTACATCTCTATTTATATATTTATGCACTTGTAAATAGAAGTGTATGTGCCTTCTATAATTTGCATTGAGAGAAATGGCATCATGCGCAAGGAGTGACAAAACAGAGCCTAAAGCAATATTGTGTGCCTTTGTCAGATTTCTGACTGAAAAAAACAACTTTCTTCTCTACTTCATAGAAGGCACCGGAGCTGTCTTGCAGCAACAGAATAAGCACAAGGCCAAAGGCCATATTCTCCAGCTGCAAAAAAGGTGTGTCCCTAAAACAATGAGACCTTGCAAAAGGGTCAGAATTGCACTACAGAATGCCAAATGAAAGGATTTAAAGTAGGTACAGTACTTATCTGCATTAACAAGCAATACACACAGCACAGATTCTGTGACAGTGTGCCTGTAATGAAACAAATGCCATGCTTCAGCTACTAAATAAAAATTGTTTCTTCCCTTTGACTGGATCCCATTGTGATTAACCCATTTATTATTTTGGTAACACCAGTTGTCAGTATGTTAATGTGGAAAAAACTTTCCCCACTATACAGCAGCCATCCAGGAGTCACTAAGAAGTTCACACAGAAATTGTGATAGGTGCATCAGTCTTATTTATGATATCTGCAGATACAATATCTGCCACATTTGTTCACGTTGTTATAATCTTTTTATCATTCATTTCTCCAAACATGTATCTCATTAAAATAACATACATTATCCAAAGCCTTTGATGGATTTGACCACAGCACCTGAACAAAAGGCTTGGGCATTCAAGACAGAAGAATGTTTTAAGCTATCTGTTTCACTTATGGGAGTACTAACTTCCTTTGAACATCTAGGAGGAGGAGCCAAAATACAAATTATGAGTCATCTAAAATTTGCTTACGCTCATTTAAGATCCTTCACCATCTACTGCTTTTAAAAAATCGTATTTTCTTTCTCCACACCCTGTACCCAGCCACCTGTTGAAATCGGTGTCAGAAAGCAAAATGTTCTGAGAATTTAGTAGATCGAATTTGACAAAGCATGAAAGGCATAATTGCAAATATGGAAAGACAACTTTTTAAAGTACAAGAGCCATTAGTGGTAGACTGTTACCCTATTTTGTGTGGTTAGCATGACATGTGAGTAGAGAAGTTATAGGATAAGCAACTGCAGGACTGCATGAGGACGTTAGACATTCTGAGCATAAAATCTGCCTGAATGAGTAAAGCAGTGTGTTTATAAATGTTTATCTATAGTACAATTTCAGGTTCCAAGTACTGAACACAGAATGGAAAGACTTGTTCATCTTCACTAGTATTACTATGGAGAAAGCCTATTAATTTATGAATACTTGCCTATTAATTTATGAATACTTCACTCATTCCAAAGTGGTATTGTATAGTAGTGCTTAGTAGTTCGCAGTGGTGTGGATATGAATTTGCATCTCTGTTAAGATACATCTAGCTAATTTGGGAGAACAGGTTACATATCTGTACTGCATTACCATTGTCCCTGTGAAACAACTTGTGGATGCATCTAATATGAAGTCTTGTCTTGCAGAGTCACAACCTGTTCAGTGCCACTGTAAACAGGGTTACTGGTAGCTTCTCTTGAAAACAGCTTGATCAGCTGCATAAGAAACAGAAAATCAGCACGTGCGTGTTTCTCAGTCACATAACTCCTTGCTAGAGAAAACGGCACTACTAAAAGCACGCAGCATTTGCCAGGGCAAAAGGAGTCATTATAAAACCCAGGGCACATCATACAGGTGCAAACATAAATTGATATATTGCTTTGGAATTATTCAAGGTGGTGAATCTCAAAAGCTATCTTTTTCGATGTAACTGATTTACATACAAAAAGAGAAAGAGTCAAAAGGGTTTAATCCAGTTCCCCATCTGGTCCAAACAGAGACTGGGACGGTGGAAAGATGCGGCCATCCTTTCTGCTTAGGAGAGTGATTTCTTCTTTTAGAATTTCAGCTTCTTGGGCCTGGAGCTGGACCAAGGTAAGCAGTTTCTCCTTCTCTTCAATATCTGCTTTGCGAGGCCCTTGGAATTCTTCTCCCTACAGAGACAAAAGCCAGAAATGCCCTTTAATCACACAACAGGAATTAGTACAATCTTCCTTTTATTCAGGCATAGAACAACCTCAGATCATGATACCACCCAGAGAAGTCACCCATTACATTCCTGGCCATGGAGGAAATTAATGCGTCTGATGGCTTAATCACCACACAAACTAAGCCTGTATTCAGAGATCAAGCAAACACTCGTTTTTTGTCACAAGGAGTGAGCCGAAGTCCTTGGACTTTAATATTTTCCCCCTTTCTTGCAGTGCCAATAGAAAACCAGGAAATAGTCAATCTATAGAAGCCTCTGTGGTTTGCAAAAGGATGGACTGTGCAAGCTTGAGGGCTTTACCAGAAAACCTGAGGCTGGTTTTTTTGTAATATCTGAATATGCCAAACACTACAGTTCGTGGTGTTTGGCATCCCTCTGCCCCCACGTTCAAAGGAATTCCCTTTGAGAAAACATGGTAAATAAAATGCCAGCTTGTACAAGGCATGAGGCAAGGAAAAAATATGCATCAAGCACTTGGGTAAAGTCCATCTTCATAGAGGAACTGGTGGGTTAACCAGCCACTGTAACCCCCAAATGGAGTTCTAGAAGAAAACGGGTAGGATTTCACCCATGTTCTAGAAGAAAACGGGTAGGATTTCACCAGCTTTTCTGCTTGATCTCTTCCGTTGCCCCTCTTCACTGCAACTATCACCCCTAACTGCTTTTGTCCACAAGTGTCCTGTGATTCCCCAGCCTTGCCATTTCCATCGTCAAAAGGGCCCCCCTCCCTCCTCTTGTTACCAGTGGAAAGCACATAGGTGGCAGCCCAGGGTGCTTTGCTTTACTGGTCATGAGTTGGTAGTAAATAGAAGCTGCATATACCAGGTTAGTCTGCAGTGCATCCAACTTAGTTTCAATTGTCATCTTCTCAGTGCAAAATGTGTTAAGCTGCAGCAGCTTGTTAGTATTTTCTTTGGTCACCATCATCAGTTGTTGACGCAGTTCATAGATTCTGGCCTGCAACAGAGCAGAGACTTTTTGGAGTGATATGATAATGCAATGATAAATTACTGGAAGACTGCAGCCCAAAAGGTACACAAAAAGGCAACAGAAACCCATGCACTAAAAATCTCTTGAAACCTCAGCTATTATCAGTGTATACCATAAAAGCCAGGGGGAAAAGATGCTTGGGGAATATTCTTTCAGTTTAAGATGCCAGACAGATAGGAAGAAAGAGGCAAAAATAGATTTTTATTATTGGGCAAAAGAGAATAATGTTGCTCATACTGGTGATGAAGTAAGCAAGCGTGAAAATACCACTGAAGCAATACAAGGACTGACAGCCTGCGTCTGGACTTTGCTATACATATGCAGTGCTTATGGGGAAGCAGAAAATCATGGGAGATTATTGCTCAAGTGCCTCAATTCTTCATGCATACATGTTATCCTCCAAATCCATGAATGCAGCCCTGCCAAACCCAAACCCTGCCTCTGTGAAGGCTACAGCAAATGCTTTGGCCTCTAGGCCCAGTCACTGTCTTGCAATACCACGTCTTGAGCACGTGGAAGCCAGAGTAATTTCCTCCAGCCCCAAGGACACACAGAAATTAATTCAACAATCCCAGATTGGTTTGGTGTGGGAAAGGTGATTCTGTCCATTCATAGGCTTCTTACTTAAAGATTCCTAAGTAAACTCTTAGTTTTCTTAATAGAAAGTATACAGTAGCAAGCATAACGCCCACAACCGAACCTTTCCGTGGCTGGCTCATCCAGTTGTTGCAAGATGCCAAAACTGAAACTCTTTTCATGGTTATGATTTTTTTTAATGTCAAAAAAGGATGTTTCATCGTTCTGGGGTAGTAAACAAGAATAATTCCCCATATCTCCTTGCTCTCCTAGGCTGATGAATGGCAGATGAGGAAGAATAAAAAGGACCTTTCTGGATCACAGCAGCTTGGAGGCTCTGCCATGTATTAGACACAGAAGCATTTGGGCAGCACTGGAGAGCATTATTTTACTGCTTTGGACATTCTGGAATAATAAATACAGGCTTCATGAGTGAGATACTTGGCCAGGTGATCTCAGAGCACAAAATCCTCCCCTACTTACCATACTGGAATCTTCTTCCTAGCCAGGGTTTGACCTCTTTCCTGTCTGGACAGATTTCATAGAGGAAATCATTCTTTTTATATTCCTTATCAAGCCCTGCCTCCAGATGCTCCCCCAAAGTTACCCACATACTACTCTTGTAGCTCAGCCAGTCACCTGACTGCATCACAATATGATTTAGTATTGAGTCTTACATCCCAGGTTTTGAGTTCTGTAGCATGCAATTGCTCTTTTTCCATCATTTTCATCTTGAGTTCTTCCAGGTTTGTATTTACAGAAAGCGTTTGCAGGGCTTCCAAGTCCACTATTCGACCAAATTTCATCATCATCAGCTGATTGCATTTCTCTTCCAATCCTAGCAAAATAAAGCTATGCATTTAAAGAATTTGCATATTTCATTCTCTTCCGTTCAGGTCAATAAAAGTAACACCTCTTTGTATGTCCAACAGCCTGATCCTATGGATCTGCTTCAGCTACAAGAGTGCAAATGGTGGTCATAAGCAGTGCACCTCACCTCTGAACACTTTGTGTAAGTTGACCTGTGGGAGTCAGGGTGGAGGACCCTGCTGGGCAGTAAAGAGTTGGATCTGGCTTACTTTGTCCTTCCTGATACTGACCTATCAGGAAAAACTGGCTGTCGGCTGCCCTGGCAGAACCTTTCTTGCAGGTTCCAGATTCACCCACAGATTCACTTTCAACACAAGGCATGATTGCTGAACTGCTTGCTGGTACAATAAGCAATTAACAGTACAACAACATTGACAGTAGCCTCTGCATTAGCTCTGAGAATCTGTAGAACATGATTGTGGGGTCATGATGCTCTGGAGCTGGGGCATGACCTGTAGACTGCTTACTCAGAATTCCAGTGCATCGGATAGGGCCATGAGGCCCAAAATTCATATCAGGGTCACAGCAATTGTGCTTCATGCATATTGTCCCCATCTGCATTCACATACTTAGAATACTAAATATTACATTTTCTTCATATACAATAGGAGTATGCATTAAAAATGTAATGTCTGAAGCAGCCCCACAGCATGTTTATGAATGTAAGAAATGATGCAAATGAGTTTGTGCCAACACAGCTCCACAGAGCATCAGTGTTTGAGATGATATTCCTGAACCAGAAGCTCTGGGTAGCACTTTAACCCATCTGTAGCAACTCCTTCACTTGCAAGAAAGAGGTGAGAAAATCTCTGCAGGCAAGAATGGTCTTCCAGGTGTGGTATTAATTCACCCATTTAAAATATTTATCTCCTGTCTTTTGAGCATATGGCTTCCAAGATGGCTTAC